ATTTCGAGATGGTAATTGGAAATAACGAGAAAACTGTCGAAGCAAAGAAAAAAATCGAAATTTCGAATTTGTTAAATAAAGTTGAGTGAGAAAGTTGTCGAAATAACGGACAAATAGACAAATAATTATAATAAACAAATATTTGGGTAAAAGATATACTATCGAAGTAGCGCCGTCAGGCTTTCGTATTTATCCACGTGGTACCATCCACGTGGTACCATCCACGTAACACAAAGACGCCAATAGCAAAATATCCAGCGCTGATGACGAAGGAAAATTGCATACAGCGAAATAGCGTGTGAAAACATGTACCACTCAAACTAATAACAGAGAGAAGGTATTGAGACGACTCGGCTCGTCGTAATGAATATGATTTATAAAAGAGATGGTATCGATTTACAATCCTCACATTTATTGTAATGTTTCCGTGGACTAACGGACCGGCCACGCCCAGAGATCCTTTTGTGGGGATACCTTTGTTCCTCATCGCTTGAAGTATAATCAGGTAATAAATTAAAAGTGATTAACAGATATCGCTGCATGTGTTGTAATGTTATTGGAGTGAAGCCAGCCATGCCGGCGTTAGGGACTATTAATCACAGTGCTGAAAAATATTTAATGGCACACGTTACTAATTAACTTCTAGCAGACATGTAGCTATCTTTGTTAATCATTCATAGGGATATTTTTTTTATCCTGTATCATGAGCGAGGCGAGTGGGATCACTCATTTGTTTGTTTATTTGTTTATTTGTTTGTTGTTTAACGTCGCACTCAGCAATATTCCAGCTATGTGGCGGCGGTCTTCAGTAACCCATGCTTGTCGTAAGAGGCGACTAACGGGGTCAGGTGGTCAGGCTCGCTGAAGTGGTTGACACATGTCATCGGTTCCCAATTGCGCTAATCGATGCTCATGCTGTTGATCACTGGATTGTCTGGTTCAGACTCGATTATTTACAGACCGCTGCCATGTAGCTGGAATATTGCTGAGTGCGGCGTAAAACAACACACCATACACCGTTGTATATGTGGAATATTGTCACAAACGGATATAAATCCTCACTCACTCACTCACAGAATATCATTATTACATTTAAAAAAATTCAGGTGCATAAGCACGAAACATACAAACAAGATAACCATATAGTTGCGCTGTGCAAAAATCAGATTATATAGAAACTGAATTGCATGTATGTCCACACTGACGGGTGAAGGACAAGAATAAGTTAGTGAGTGACTTAAAATTTAAAGTCACATCGGCAATATTTCAGTCATATCGTGACGAGAATTTGAATATAAAAGAAATAAATATATTGGGAAAAAGAAATCTGTCATCTATATTGGCAGTAGTTACAAGAATATCTCGGGTAGAAGTTAAACTAGTTTATAACATATAAAAGAATACATGGGGCGGTGGGGTAGCCTAGTGGTTAAAGCGTTCGCTCGTCACGCCGAAGGCCCGGGTTCGATTCCCCACATGGGTACAATTTGTGAACCCCATTTGTGGTGTCCCCCGCCGCGATATTGCTGGAATATTGCTAAAAACGTCGTAAAACTATACTCAGTCAGTAAAAGAATAAATTAATAGACAACAGCACATTATAATAATGGGAGATAGATCGCCAGCAACTGAAGACACACATCACCACACAGAGGATCGTAGGGACAGTACTTGTGCTACCTGCATGGACCCTAGCTGGATTTACACAATTGCCGAGTCTCAGTTGACGATAACAAATATATACTACACATCAAAAGTTTAGACTCACTAGTGTAAATGTAGCCACTTTCTTCAGTCAACTGTTCTAAACTAGATTTTGCAAAATATTCCACACTTCTCAAAGGTACTGTTTACACGTGAACTGGTGTGTTGTAAAACAAATTCGTAACGTTGAAAATATTATTTTCATGAGTTCAATAAATGATGAAACTCGGCGAAATTTGACGACTTCTTGACAAAACTTTACACCAAAACGCAGCTGTTCACATGCACGATATTTGCACATGCTTTTCAGCAATTTGATACATGATCCAAGTGCAATTCATCTGCATAAGGTTTGCAGTTGGTTCTCCAAGTTAATGGAGAAATTCATCTTCGATGTAACCATATATATACATAACATATAGTGAGTGTTTTAAGTAATCTAAACTTTTGATGGGTAGTATACTTCATTTGGAAGTCTGGCATGCATATGTCGTGCGGAATTTACGGAGTTTGTGTGAGGTGAGGTGAGGTGAAATTGGGTTTAACGTCTTGCTTGAGAAGATACGGATATAACGAACCTACGGCTATAGCGAACTGTTTTAAAAGTCCCGAATAAACCTTATATTATCATATAAAAAAAGTGAATAGCGAACTACGGATATACCGAACTAACTTCAGTGGTCCCTTGGAGTTCGTTATAAAGGTATTTTACTGTATTTCGCTCATATGACGACGTGCATGTGTGTGTATGTGTATGTGCGGCTGCCTGTACTAGCCCAGACTTATGCTGGTTTTATAGTGCCAGCCCACTGAGATACCATGCCGCAGTTTGTAAAGTCGCAATAAATACACATAACAATTACTCGTAAGAAAGTACTTTAAGAAACCTAGTTGAGCTTGTGTTTTTAGACAATGATTAGTGTTTCATAGTTTGGTCAATATGGTTTCCGGTATTTAAATAAATCAAATAAGACTTTATTGTCACCGACCCGACCAATAAACCACATGACTACAAACATATACGTGAATATGTGAAAGTAAAGACAAATATGCTTCAAATGATGCGGGACTTACACACCGTCTCATGGGGACAATCATTTTACGTTACTTCAATTGATTTGTCGACCCGTGAAGATCCGGGTTAGAATTGGTCTTCAGCAACCCATGCTTGTCGTAAGTGGCGACTAACCGGATCGGGTGGTCAGGCTCGCTGACTTGGGTGACACATGTCATCGTATCCCATTTGCGTAGATATAAGCACATGCTGTTGATCACTGGTTTGTCGACCCGTGAAGATCCGGATTAGAATTGGTCTTCAGCATCCTAGTCTTGTCGCAACAGGCGACTAACCGGATCGGATGGTCAAGATCGCTGACGCGGTTGACACATGTCATCGTATCCCAATTGTGCTGACCGAATGCTCATGCTGTTGATCACTGGATTGTCGGATCCAGACTGCCGCCATGTAGCTGGAATATTGCTGAGTGCGGCGTTAAACAACAAACCACACAACGGGATGTAACTGGAATACTGTTGCATACAGATTTAAATCAAGCTTATTCACTCACGGCGAAAATATAATTAAACTTTAATTTTTTGTTGGGCTGTATAAAGGTATACACAAAGTTAGGTTTTTGTCCTTGTTTTTTGTTCCTAGGGGTTTTTGTCCACGTTTTTTTGGTCCTACAATCTCTTCAGCAACCCATGCTTGTAAGAGGCGACTAACGGGATCGGGTGGTCAGGGTGGCTGACTTGGTTGACACATGTCATCGGTTCCCAGTTGCGATGCTCATGATGTCAATCACTGGATTCACAGACCGCCGTAATATTGCTGGACTACTGTAGAGTGCAGCGTTTAAAAACGAACGAACAATGCAAACTGGTAACAGAAGATCACAGACGTATACTTCTTCGGATAACCATTTTGGAAAGATTTTAGAGCCGTTTCTTCAACTCATTTATCTCACAGTATTAATGAGTGAATGAGTGAGTTTAGTTTTAGTTTTACGTATGAGGTGACTAACGGGATCGGGTGGTCAGGCTCGCTGACTTGGTTGACACATGTCATCGTATCCCATTTGCGTAGATCGTTGCTAATGTTGTTGATCACTTGATTGTCTGGTCCAGACTCAATTATGTACAGACCACCGCCATATAGCTGGAATATTGCTGAGTGCGGCGTAAAACTAAACTCACTCACTATAATCTATGCTGCTATGCCACCTTGTCTATCAGACCATTGCTACCCAACCCTTTAAGCTGCTGAAGTCAGAGTGTCTCCTCTTAGCTGATATCGTTGAATCCGTAATATGATTGCCCCCGTGGTTTAGTGGATACAGTCCTCACCTCGAGTCAGTTAGTGAGTGAGTTTACCTTTACGCTACAATATCACGGCGGAAGACACCAGAAATGGACTTTATACATTGTACCCATGTGGGAATCGAACCCGGATCTTTGGCGTGACGAGCGAACGCTTTAACCACTAGGCTACCCCACCGCCCTCCAGAATTTTGAGACGAACTCATTCAACCGCCATATAGCTGGAATATTGCTGAGTGCAGCGTTAAACATCAAAGAACCAGATCTGATTACTCACAAGCCTTCGTCTTGTTGCTGGAATATTGCTGAGTTTGACATAGTCCAACAAAATGCCCGTCAAAGCTGGCAATATTGGCTCAGGTTTACATTTTTGTAGGATTCCGATATGACTGACTGAGTATGGTTTTACGCCGTTTTTAAGCAATATTCCAGCAATATCACGGCGGGGGACACCAGAAATAGGCTTCACAAACCACTAACCTACCCCATCGCCCCTAAAAAATGAAAAATACTGAGTGATTACAGTCAACTTTGTGTGCAGACTCTTTCAGTGTTGTCACAACCCCTAGTGTACAGTACACAACCCTGTGCACTTAAAAGAACCCACGAATCCGTTGGTATATGACCAGATGGTGGCCACATGAATACGTGCAAACACCTAGTTGCGGGTACAGCAACGTGCAGTAAACTTGGACAAAGTACTGTGACTATGTGTCCCAGTCCACCCAGCTGTGAATGGGTACCTCGTAAGGATGGGAATGCCACAATAACTCGGTGCGCCTAGTGGCTGCAAGAGTTGTATGCTCCCCAGGGAGTTAAGATTGACAATAGATGTGCCGTTGAGATTGACATCCAGTGAACGAGGGAAAAACAAAGCAAGCACAAAGAGTCCTTTGCGGAGATTTGCGCTATATAAATGCTATCCATTATTATTATTATTATAACATCATTAAAAAAATCCACAATAAACAATGTAGTAAAATGCTTACACTTTTATTCACTATACATTCTTGCAGAAATATCACAATGTATAGTCGAACATATTCACTGTAATATAACACAACTGGAAATTAATATGGAATCACACACTTCGTAGTAATACTCTATCACCCCTAAGTAACCAAATGGTTCAGCCCTTCAATGTCTTGGAAGGGTCCACTGACATTACAAAGGGGTGATGGTAGATATTCCTTTGACATCTACATCAACTGAATACTCAATGTCTTTGGCTCTACGCCAACTAAATCATAAACCGACTAAATGCTTGACATAATTAAGGATTGTCATCACAGTTGAGAGTTTCAGTCGACAATTTCCACTCAAGTTTTATGGAGAGTGACATGCTTATGCTTTGAATAAGAACATGTTTGTTTCTGGTGGTCACCTACCCATCACCATGGCAACCAGGTAACATACATGTCAATGACAGGTATAACACATGTCGATTTCAGTATCAGTGTGTCAATCAGTGGTTGAATGTTTACAACCATAATTCAGTTCAGCTCTAAATAACATAAATGCATTTAATTAAATTCTCAACCGGAATGGAACAAAGTGCAAGGTTTGCATTTTGATGTATTTACACATAAATTACACATGCATTTATGTCACTGAGAACCTATATCACCCTTCAACAAATGTGTATTTCACAGAAAATGTCAACTACCACAATATGAACATAAATGACAAGTATCAAAAATATAAAAAAGCATACTCTGAAATAATTCCCACAGCATACAAATATCTCCTTCAAAATGTACAGCCATATTCACAACTATACCTTGTTAGTTTACAATAGACGAATGTTGACATTTCCTGCACATACACATATGAAGAAGATTTGACATGCCATTCGATATGTGAACCGGAATACTTAAATCAGTGGATCAGTTGGTGTATTATACACTCCCACAAAAGTCACGCAAAAAATCAATGATAGTTACAGGTTTGTGATTATGTCCATCAACCAAAGAATCACATTACCTGATTTACAAGTCATAATTTTTCCCATGGTTTCAAGTCAGTCATTATTGGGGTTTTTCATTGGCGATCAATCAAATTGGTGATCAATCATCTCCCTGCCTTTTGTCTTTCTCATGTCAAATCCTGTGATATCGATATCATCAATAGTTGAATACTGTTGTTTGGACGTCAAGTTACGGATAACGTGAATAATCTCTTGTTGACAAACATACATGTACATCTAAACCTTCTACAGCCTGTCCCTAAACACTTGTTATTATACAACTACGGATCTATCCTTTAAAGGCACAGTGCCTGTCATACCAAACAGGCAAGACAAGCACGAACACATAACGTCCAAACGCCAGACTGACCACTCAGTTAGAATACAGCATCAAGATGGTCAGTCTCCAATCTCATTGGTTTGTGTGCCTTTAAAGTGAGAGAATGACAAAAACAGTACAATATGATGCCAAAGAGATTTGAGCAATACTTCTGAGACATTAAGCCCCAACCTAACTAGACGTCCAAACAATCACTTATAGTCAGTATTCCCCCACCACCAGATTCGTTCCATATTCAACTGATAAATAAATATGCTCGTGCACCAGTAGATGAAAAGTCAGTGACTAGAATATTGAATTTCCCAATGGACATATCAACAGTGGAAGCAGCATTAGATGCAATATATATGTCGTTTCAGTAGGACAAGAAGCAATTGTGAATGATGCCATCAATACTGTTACAGTAGCTGGCAATAAGTCAACCCGGTTTGACGGTCTCCATTGACCTGGAAACTTTCAGTAAAGTTATCATCAGATGTCATACATTGTGAAAATTCAGATCAAGTTCAGTATATATCACGATTACAGATGTCACAATTCCCTATGTTTGTATCAAAATATTATTATTGTCATAAAGTTGGTCGTATTACAAGTGACCATCTTAGAAGTTCTTCGGCTGATGCACAACCACAATGTTCTTCCTTCTGCTTCTTCGCCTTCGGGATCCGCTGATATTCGCAAGACTGGGTGGCATGCTGGAGGCCTTCTTCTGATTTCTATTTGCTGATCTCCCATGAGCTCCACTTTCATCATCAGAGTCATCATCGGTGACCAGGAAAGGTGTAACAGAACGTTCACGTGGCTGGGCTGAACGAGACCTGGGTTGAGTAGATCTTGATCTGGACCTCTTTCTCTTCTTCTTCTTCTGCTGGTTATTGCTAGCTGCCTCTGTCTCACTTGCGCTAGTTGGTGAGAGGAGAGATATGGCTGGGAATGAAGCATCTGGTGCTGAAGTTGTTGCTCGTTCTCTGGACCGTGAAGCTGTGGATTTAGATCTACGCTTTGTCTTCTTTGGTTTTGGTGATGTCTCTTCGACTGGATGCACTTCAATGACTGGTACATTGAGAGCAGCACTTGGCTGAAGACTATCTGGCCTTGGTCGAGATTGTCTTTCATTGCCAATGAGCGCTGTATCCTGTATTGATGTGTCCAGAACACTTGCCATGGCCCAAGAGGGACCGGTAACAGGTGTAGCCTGTGTGGACATTTCTGTCATGACAGCAATCTCGCTCCAATCACCAGAGACCTGGAGCGGATCTTGCGTAGTGTCATCAGCAACGGTCTCTGATCGTGATGAGTGAGTTGACGACGATCTCTTCTTCTTTTTCTTCTTCTTCTTGCCCTGTCCATCTGCTGGTTCTACATCAGGAGCAGTGAGTAGTGATGGGATTTGTATGGCTGCTGTTTCTTCTGTGTTCTCTTGAGGAATCTCTTTTGGGATCTCTTCCACAGACTTCTTCTTCTTCTTCTTTTTCTTTTCTTGGCTTCATTTACTGTATCTGGTGTTTCCACCGGCTGCTGAGGTTCTGTGGGTTTTTGTTCACTTATTTCAGGTTTTGTGGCCCATGCTTGTTCTGACTCGTCATACTGTACAGGTGATGATTTCTTAAGTTTCTTCTTCTTCTTTGTTTCTTGCTTTGTCTCTTCGTCAACCCCTGTGGATATTGTTGGTTCACTGTCTACTGTAAGCTTTCTCTGCAACACATCCCTTTCAAGTTCTGTTCTTTCTTGAAGTGCTTTATATGTGTAGATTTTTCCTGCAATTGATTCACTTTCTGAAGTTGTGTCAGTAGTATCACTGGCAAGAGCACCAAATGGATTTCTCACCGAAATAGCAGCAGAAGATGTTGATTCATCATCAGTTTTCATGGTCTTGTCATCATCAACAAGCGTTACATCATCATCATTCTCTTGACCTCTGATCATTTCAGTAAATACTTCAGATTGCCAGTCAGGAATTTCCGTTACACCTGACAAAGCTGCAGACATCTGCCTGTTGTAAAGTGATGGAATACGAGGTCTTTTTTCCTTTGAGCTGGCCTCAGTGTTTACACCGGTGTCACCTTCAACAAAGAGGTCATCATCTTCATCAGTGACAATAGATGTTGTGTCCAGTTGCCAGTCCATTTCTTCAGTAGCTCCAGACAGAGCAGCTGACATTGTTCGTTGGTAAAGTGAAGGGATTCTAGTTCTCCTGCTCTCGTCCGTAGTGCCACCAGCAGCTTCATGTTCTTTAGGTTGCACCTCTGTAGGAACAATATCCATGCTCTCCTCAAGTTTTGGTTCCAGGTTTTCAAACTTCTTCTTTTCAGCTTCTGCGATAACCCAGTCATCTTCTGCATCAAAGTGATTATCTGCTTTCACATCATCATCTGTGTCATCTACTTGCACCATTTCATACTCTGCATCTAGTGAATCAGAGCCGGATTCAGTATGTGCAGATTCAGGTGGTGTCAGGATTCCAAGACTGTCCATCTTAAGTTCAACCTCTTCAGGTCTGTAGAAGTGTTCTTCCTCATCATCCCTTTCAATCACGTCCCCAAAGGCATCAGCTCCTACTGATTCCTTGTTCATGGATTTAGCACTTTGGTCTAAGTATGAGTCTGATAGAACAGTGTTCTCTGGTGGTGTCACCAACAAATTCGCTGCTGTTTTTAGGTCTTCCGGTAGTCCGTCAGATGATGGAGTTCCTGGTGACCCTTCCAGGTTCATAGCAGCTGCTTGTCCATTATCACTTACAACTGGCAGATCATACACCACTTTCTCAAAGTCTGTCTGATTTGACTGCATGTCTTCAACACATTGTGTGTCATACTGGCTTTCTCCGGTACATTCACCGCTTGTTTCTTTCTCATCTTCACAAGACACTTCAGACAAGGATTTACTTTCATCTTTCAATGAATCCAATGCAGCCTGTCCATCACCACAAATTGCCACAGTAGATACTTCATCAAATTCATAAATTTCTTGAGATTCGATTCGCTTGATCTTGGCTTGTTGCACCTTTTCAAACACCATCGCTGAGGCATCAACTTTTGCATTTTCAAAGTCCAATGTTTCCTGAGTGGACAGACAGAGTGATGCAGATGTGTCTTCATTGCCTGATAACATGAACTTGTCTTCTTCTGCTGAAGATGGAACAAGAGTAGTTGTGTCAATATCAAACGAGAGGGCATTAGAAGAATCACTCTCCCGGTCTGGGCTGGTTTCTTGTGAAGTAAGGGAAGACTCACACATTGATTTAGTTACCATCCCTTCAACAGCAAGATAGTCTGGGCAAATGTCAATATCTTCCTCTTGTGTTACTTCTTGCACAAGTTTCTCCAAATCAGAATCTGATGGTTTCAACTTTTCCAGTTCCATTATGATTTCTTTGATATCACCTGTCTGCATAGAATCTAGGAGATTCATGTCACCACATCCACTTTCATCTGTTTCTGTTAATTCTGTTTCAGAGACTTCCTTATCTGTTGAAGCACCCCCCGTCTGAGTTGCATCTGTTTCACTTTTCTCAAGAGTATCAGTTAGTGTTGAAGTGTCATCAGTTTCAGCTACTCTGTCGAAAACAGTTGGTTCAGTGTCGTTTGTGATTAACAGTGTTTCGTCATCAACTTCTAACGTTTTCTGTCTATCAGTCCCTCCACTTTCTTCTGCTTGTGGATCACTGGATTCCAGTTCTGATGACTCATCAGCTGCTTTTGATTCTTCATCCGTGTATATGCTTGATGACATTGCAATGTAGTTTTCTGCAAATTCTTCAAAATGTTCTAACAATTCAGGCTCTGGCTTAGCATCTTTTGCTTGTGTTTCTGACTCCTTTTCTGACTGAACAATGTCGGAATCAATGTCTGCAGTTTCATCATCAGCGAAATCTGATTTGTCTGCATCATCAGGCTTCTGTGAAGCAAGTGCAAACTCTATTGGTGACTCTTCATTGACCACTGTCTCAGCTCTTGATGCTTGTTCCTCATAAAGTTGCATGTTGGTGTTTGTTTCTTCCTCTTTTGGTGAGCTCTCTTTGGATGACTTTCTGGGCGACTGTTCTTCAAGAAGTGTTTCATTTCTTGACGATCCTGCTTCATCCTCTTTGGGTATTTCTGTGTCTTCAAATGACTCCAATCTGGGTGTTCCTTCTTCCTCAATTGCATCCTCTCTGAGTGTTTCATCCTTATCAAGGACAACATCTCTGGATCTCTCTTTTGTGGCAAGTGATTCCCCTCTTGGCATTTCCTCTTCACCATCTACTGATAACACTCCAGATGAGCCCTCTGCATCAAGTGGAATGCTTCTGGCACACACGTCTTGATCTAATGCTTCTTCTTTGGGCATGTCATCATCTTTAAGTGCTGCCTGTATGTGTGTTTCTTCTTTTTCAAGAACCATCTCTTCTGTCAGTTCTTTAGCAAGTGCTTCCACTGTCAACATTTCATCTTTGTTGACTGGTTCATATCTGGCTGTTACTTCCTCATCAGCCAGTGGCTCGCCGAGTATCTGTCCTTTATCATCAAGCACTTCTCCTGGGTGTGTTTCTTCTTGATCAGGTGCTGTTTCTATTGGTGTCTCCTCATTCTCAGATGCATCTTCAAATTCCTCTTCTTCATCAAGATTCATTTCTTCTGCTGTCTCCTCTTTACCAAGTGTCTCGTCTTTGTCAAATACCATCTCTCCTTCAAGTACAGTCCTTTTGTCAAGTACTGTCTCATCTTCATTAAAAGCTACCTCACCCTTCTTCACTTCAGCCTCTTCCTCAAGTATTGGCTGTTCTTCATCCAGGTCAGTGTGTTCTTTGTCAAGTGTCATCACTTCCTTGTCAAGAATAGTTTCTTCCTGAATGATTTCTGGCTTTTCTCCCTCAAGGTCTTTCTCTTCTTCATCAATTGTTGTCTCTCCTTTTTCAAGCACTGTTTCTTTTTCCTCAAGTACAGTCACTGAGTCCAGGTCTGTCATTTTCTCATCCTTGGCAAGTATCATCTCTTCTTCAGGTATGATCTGTTCTTCATCTTGGTCAGTCTCCGCTTCACTAAGTGATGACTTTATTTCATCACATGTTTTCTGGTCTTCATTAAATGCCATCTCTTCATATTCAAGACTTGTTTCCTCTTCAGCAAGAGCCATCTCTAGTCCAGGTGATGTCTGTTCTTTGTCAAGTACTGCCTCTCCATCAGGTGCTGTCGCTCCCTCAAGTATGCTCCCTTCTAATGCAAGATGTGTGTCTTCTTGGCCAAGTGTTGTCCCTCGTTCCCAAAGAGCTGTCTTTTCCTCGGTATGAATTGCCTCATCTTCATCAAGAGCTACCTCACCCATCTTCACTCCAGTCTCTTCCTCAAGTATTGGCTGTTCTTTACCCAGGTCAGCCTGTTCTTTGTCAAGTGTAATCTCTTCCTTGTCAAGAATAGTTTCTTCCTCAATGACATCTGGCTTTTCTCCCTCAAGGTCCGCCTCTTCTTCATCAGGTATTGCTTCTCCTTTTTCAAGCACTGTCTCTTTTTCCTCAAGTACTGCCTCTCCTTCAAGTACCGGCACTGAGTCAAGGTCTGTCATTTTTTTCATCAGGTGCTGTCTCATCCTTGTCAAGTATCGTGTCTTCTTTAAGTATGATCTGTTCTTCATCCTGGTCAGTCTCTTCTTCAACTGATGTCTTTATGTCAATCTTTATCTCATCTTCATCTTTTGTTATCTCGTCTTTGTCTACTTCAGCAGGAGCTATCTCTTGTACAGGTACTGTAAGTTCTTCATCAAGTATTGCTTCTCCTTCCAGTGCTGTCTCTCCTTCAGGCATGGTCTCTTCTTTGACATGTGGCTCTTCCTCACCAAGTCTTGTCCCTTCTCTTTCAAGAATAGTCTCTTCTTTATCAAGTTTTGTCTCTTCTCCTTGAAGTGCTGGCCCTTCTTCAAGTATGGTCTCTTCTGTATCAAGTGTTGTCTCTTCTTCACCAAGTACTGTGTCTTCTTTATCATTTACTATCTCATCCTCTTTCAGTGCTGTCCTTTCTTCACCATAAGTGAACTCTTCTCCAGGTGATCTCTCCTCTGTGACCTGAACTCTGTCTGTTTCTCCTTCAAGTATAGTTTTTTGATCATCAAGTGCTCTGTCCTCTTGTTTAAGTATCTCTTCTTTGACAAGTGATGTGGCCTCTTCATTAATCATACGGTGCTCAAATCCTGTATCCGGCAGTGACTGCTGACATGAAGTATATTTATGTTCAGCTTGTTCATCAAAACAGAATGATGCAATCTTCTCTGTTAACTGGTCTAATGTTAACTCACTGTCAGCACTTTCCATTGGTCGATGTCTGTAGTCTGTTTCCAGTCTTGATTCACTAATCATAGAGACGGATGTTGTGTCCTGGATATGTTGTAGTTTCCATTCATCTGACTGAGGGATAAATTCATCTGCTTCTGGGTTCAGGACAAAGTGATGTGTGCCATGTCTGTCACTGGTTTCATCATCCGTCATTTTAACAAGTTCCTCTGTAATGTTTGTCACTTCCTTGGAGATGGATTCATCGACATCATCCACAGGTACCATATCCTCAGGAGGTTGTACAAGCTCAGTTTCTCGCTCTTCTACGGCATAGAGAAACCTTTCAGTATGGTCTATTGAACTCTCCCTTACAGATCTTCCTTCATCCATCTCTGGTGCTCTGTCTTCTGTCGCTTGTGTCACCTCAAGCTGACTGGTTGGTGGATCAGTGCATACTGGTTCTGGCATATCAACATCATCAGATTTCTCATCAGTCTCATCAAGTTCTGCTGATTCTTCTGCTTCTGTGAATGTCACCTGATCAGACGAGTCATCAGTTGTGAGAGTGACATCCTCTTCCTGAGCTTGGTCCTCATCTTTGTCAATGGTGTCTTCATCAACACGATCCTCTGGATCTGAAGCTTTTTCTTGTATAACATCTAACTGCTCAGTCATCTGGTGGCTGTCACATTCATCTGGTACTAACGTGGTCGATTCTGAAGTGATACTTCCTGACGTATCAGAGAATCCTTGACGAGAATCTGTTTCTCTGTCTTCAGTTTCTTCACAGAAAACATCCTCTGTTTCTCTTTGATCTGATATGTAGGTATCCTGTACAGAGGCGTCTTCATATTCAAGCCTTTCCTCTTCATAATCTTCATCCGAACCATATGGTGCATCCTGGTCTTGTTGACCCCTGTAGGCACTGGCAGTTATATCTTTGGATGGCATGAATTCCTCTGTACGATCAGTTGATGGTTCAGGCTCCTCAAACTCCTCCTCATCTGATTCTGATACGATACTTCGGATCCTTCGCATTAACAATGACTCCTGCCTTGAAAACTGTGGTCTGTTTTCTGAAGACTCCTGTTGATCTCCAAACTCCTCTGGGTCTGAACTGCTTAATTGTTCTTCACTTCTGGAAGTTTCAGCGTTAAATACTTTAGTTTCTGTTTTAAGTACTTCTGTCAAACTTTCTTCATACCCCACAGAGCTATCACCACTGTTTTCATTCACAGGCAGAATGTCTTCTTCAAATCTGTCACATTCACTGTCCGGCCTTTCACGTGAATCTTGAAGCACTTCATCAGTAGGAATAACCACTGTTTGTTGCTGCTGGTCAAAACTCCTTTCTGCAGAGTTTTTGTCTTCTGCTTCCTTGACTTCATCTGGTTCTATTGCAGGCACATGATCAGCCTGTTCAACATGATGATCTTCATGATGAACATGTTCTTGCAAAGTCACATCCTCTGTTCTTGCCTCATTAACTGGTATGAATTGGTCAGGGTGTGTCAGAGCTGCCTGTGCACTCTCTAGGGCACTCTGAACAATTTCTTCTGCTACTTTCTCCATCTCATCCACATCTTCTGTTTCATTACCTGGTAAATCATCTTCAACTGTCTGAACTGGTTCACTCTCGACGGCCCCCGTTTCAGCATCTTTTTGTTCGTCACATGTAGTGACTACCTCAGTTGGATATTCAGTGTCCTCAGTCACCTCCTGGTCTGCATTATTATCTTCAATCTCATGATCATCTCCAGCTGAATGGTCAATTTGTTCAACAAATGATGAACCTTCTTCATTGGACAGTGAGTTTTCTGTTGATGCTGCCTGGTCAATCTCTTGCAAATCAGACAATGCACTCTGAACTGCAATTTGAACTATTTCCTCTGCAAGCTTTTCTGTTTCATCTATAGTCAAGTCATTAACTTCTGATGGCCCTGATGTGTCTTCATCTGGAGTGATGTCATCACTTCTTTCAAGTTCAGATGCAATAACAGAATCAGATGTTTCACGCTGTTGCTGAGCGGATTCTTCATATTCCTCGAATTGTCTTTCAGACTCTCTACCAGCTTTGTCTTCAGCATTGTCACATGGAGGTGGTACATCTTCTTCTGGTTGACTGATGCTAGAAGATCTCTCATGGTCTTCTTTAAAGTCATCCTCCACCTCGCTGTGATCTTCAGACAACACATAATGCAGTCCCTCTCCATCAGTATTATGTTGGAGGTCTTCCTTCGATCCCTCAAAGGACAAACCCTTTTCCTCTTGTTCTTCACTGTCAGGAATGTCAGTAGTTGAAATTACTTCTTCCATATGATCAATAGACCTTTCTTGCGGTTGTTCAGCATTATTATCCTGCACATACGTATCTAAAGCCTCAGTAAATGGTTCATCGACTTCCTCTTCTCTGTCCTGTTGTTCTGGTTGAACTGGTGGTTCTAGTTCTGTAGTTGAGACTTCTTGTTCACTCTCACTGTAATGATCAACTGAAGTTATTGTCTGGGCAGATGTTTCCTCACTGTCTGGAAACTGCATAAGTTCTGTGAATTCTTTTTCATACATATACCGTAATGACTCCATGTTTGTCAATAGTTCTCCTTCAATGTTCTCTTCACTTTCTGAAGTATGGGATATTGGTTCAACTTTGTCTTCACTGGGTAGTTGGGTATCATATGCATTAACAGATTCAGCAATTTCAGTAGAGCCTTCTGCTTGGTTATCTGACTCAGGTGAATAATCAATTTTCTGATTGTCTCCCACGAGCTGTTGCTCCTCGATTCCTTGGCTCTCTTCCCCACTAACATGAGTGGCTGTTGCTTCCTGGTCATAGTATTCTGGTGCAGCTGGAACAACCATGGCGAGGATACCCTTCAACTGGTCAAAACTTGGTCCTTCAGTTACAGAACTATCTCTACGACTCCAGTGTACATCTTCTTCTGCTGGTTCCTCTTGTACAACTTGAACATCACCTGAAGGTGCAATGCTTTCACCTTCAGTGCTTTCATCTACAACAGAATCCATTTCTATGAGCCCTTGAATACTACTCTCATCTTGCACATCAACTGCAGCTGTTTGAGGCGTGGACCGCTCAACTGATGGTCGCTTTCCTGGGAACAATTCATCTGCAAACTCTTCTCTTCTGTCAATTTCAGTTTCAACTTGTTTGTCAGTAACATCTGTTACCTTGGATTCCTCCTGCAAACTGACAACTGCACTGGCAATCACAGCTTGCACAAGATCTTCAGCTGCTTTGGTCTCATCAATGTCTTCTTCCTCACCCTGATCGTCTTCGGCAAGATTGTCTTGACATTCAGAAACAGGCTCCTTTGGTATGGTACCACTGTCATCATATGGGTCGAATGTGTCTGTTTCTGACAGAGTAAGGTCTCTTATCAGTTCATTATATTCCCCTGAAGAGGACATTGTCATCTGAACTAGGTTTTCCAGTGTTGGAACATTAAAGAATCTATTTTCTGACTTAACCACATGTGACTCTGCTGACAGAGAACTCTCACTGAACATATCTCCATTGTCTGGTTGTATTAACTGCCTATGTTCTGGTTCAGCCATGGATGCAGAATCTTCAAACTCATCGGTCTCAGAAGTGAATGTTTCTGTAGATGTTTTTAGATCTTGTTCAAGCTGTCGGTGCTGATTCTCTTCCAAGTAAGATTCACCTGAGGTCTCAAGTGGACCTTCATGGCTTTCTGTGTCCTCAACTGACTCTTCCAGCTCATCAGCTGCCTCTTGTGATAGCTTGTCTATTGTTTCTGTTTTAGTGGGAGTTGATGTTGTCAGTGCAGCCAATTGCTCAAGCGGTCGGTGCTGATATTCGACTGAAGATTCACCTGATGTCTCAATCAGATTTTCGTAGCTTTCATCCATGTCATTTTCAGATTCTGTAAGCTCATTTACTCTGTGCTTTGGAGATTCTATACTCTCTTGAATTTCAGTCACTTCCTCTTCGTCAATAGATCCATGTTCATCAGATGGTAACTGAGACTGGAGACTCTCAAAATGGCTTTCAATACCTGGTTCCAAGTCATCAAATGATTCAAATCTTCTCAATTCTTCAAACTCCTTTTCATACATGTATCTCAATGACTTGATGTCTTGTTTGTCAATATCACTTATTCCTGTCTCAGTATCTTCACTGAGGGTTTCCTGTGCCACCTGTCCTTGTGCAAGCATCATCTCTTCCAACTGATCCTGTTCTGACTTGGATACATCTACCCCTTCCTCAACATCTTCACTTTCCTCTGTAACTTCTTTATCTTCAGAAGTATCCTGATCAGATTTCACAATGTCTTCCCTTTCCTCAACATTACTGCCATCATCAACTACATCATCAGCAAGCACATCGTCTTCTGAATCACCACTGCTGAATTTAGCTCCAGTTTCAAGTTCTTCTGCATCATCAGCAACATCTCTGAGATGAGCATCAGCATCTGTAGAGGTAGACAAGTCTGATGTTGAAATTGACAAATTAATCTTCTCTTGTCTTTCAATGTCTGTCACAGTAACCAGGAAGTCAGAGCTTCTCATCTGAAGCCAGTCAGAATCTGTTTCCTTGACATAAGTGGCTTCTTCAAAATCATTATCAGATTCATCTTCATCCTCATCTTCATGGATGCTTCTGATTGGGGACAGCTTTTTTATCATCACTAGCCTGCATAGGAAGCTGGTCATCTATCTCCACGTGATGAACATTTTGTAAACAAGCATCATCTTGAGTCATTTCTCCAACTTCTGCAACACTTTCATCGGGCTGCAGATCAAAGGTCTCAGCATATTTCACAGCTTCTTCAATGTCTGAGACTGCCTTGATTTCCCCAATGCCAGTTATCTCCTCTTCTGATTCATGGATGACCATTGAGTCATCATCACTTTCCTCTGATACGAGTGCTGTTGCCCCTTGACATTCAGCTGAAACACTCTCACTTGTTGCCAGGTCTTCATACACAGAAGGCACATGTCCTGGTTCAGCTGTGGCCACTCCTTCCTCAGTATTTATTTCATCTGAAATGATTTCAATTTGGGACAATCTTTCACCAGTTTCAAGAGATTCCGCAGTTTCTTCTGGCTGGTTGGGTATCTCTTCTGGTTGTGTAGTTATTTCATCAGATATGATGGTTCTAAGGCCTTCATGTGCCTCTGATGTAGATAGTCCTCTTGCTTCATCATCAAGTAAGATGTCATCATGTACACTTTCTGCATCGATGAATTCCTCTTCCTCATCATCTTCATCTGCAACTGTTTCTGTCGAAACGTCCCAGTCATCCTTTTGTGAATCTGACAAACTTTCAGATTTTAATGTTGGTGATGTCATACTGGGTACCACCTCATCACCTTGCGCTTTAACTGTCTGTCCAATATTGACTTCCTTCACAAGTTCACTTTTGTAGGTTTGAGGAGGTTCCCTGTAGCCATACATTCCTGGAGTGAACTGGAATCCTGTGTTGTCTTCATGTTCACTCTCTGTCAGATGACTTATATCGAGTCGGCTCTTGGATGCTTCAGATTCAGTGTCCATGCCAAACACACTGTCATCAAGGTCTGAATGTGTGAAGCTTAGGCTACTTTCATCAGCTGATGGAACTTCAACAACAAATGTGTTGGGAAAGAAGCCATGTTCTGCAGATGATGTCTGCTGGACTGCGGTGCTCTCTGACTGATCCTTCAAATAGTTCTCCATGATGTATGATGAGGCACTAGTGTATCTTTTCTTCTCATCATTGTCATCATCTTCTTCATTGGAAGCTGATGATACAAGGGGACGAACTGCAAAGGAGACTTCAGAAATCTGTCTATCAATCTGTCTTGGTTTACCTTCTTCATCCAGATCAAAAGAAACTTCAGAGATTTGTCGCTGAAACTGTTTTCTGTCACTGCCAATGTCAACTGATATTTCTGAGACTTGTCGCTCCAGTTGTTTCTTTGATTCAACTAAAGTGTCCCTTTCTGCACTTGCTCTGGGGGGATGACATTTGGAATGCGACCTCAGAAATCTGTCTCCCAAACTCTCGAACATTGGTCTCTTGCACTTGTTGTGTGGGAGACTCAGAGCTGCGTGGTGACACTATCACAAAGGATGTCTCAGATACCTGTCTTTCAAAGGGTATGCTTGTGTGTCCACTTCCCTCACATTCCTTTATGTCAGTGTCTTTTACCTCATATGATATAACAGACATATGCCTGGTTAACTGCTTTTCAGGGCTTCTTTCGTCACTGGGACTTTGTTCTGGCAGACTAACACAGATCTCTGACTTCTGTCTCTCTTCCTTTTCCTTGTCCCCAATGAAATAGAGGGTTTCTAGGTGGTACAGTAGTGCCAAGGATGGATCAGATACTTCAGATGACTCAAGGGTAACTGGTTCATCTCCTTCAACACTGCTGACATCTTCTGAAAGTGAGCTGAGATTTCTTACAGCTGAAACACCACAAATCTCCCGTTCCTGGCTCTGAGTATGCTCAAGTTCTTCCTCAGTCCCTGCCAATGCTGACTCTTTATTCGGGAGTGCAGCCTCTTCCACGTCTTCCCTGACATATATTTCATCACTTTGGGTAGGTTCTGATGGTGACTCCTGTGTAGAATCAGTTTCTATGACAGCCATTTCAGATGGTTGTCCCTCAGCTGTATGTAGCTCTTGCTCAGTATGGAGTAGGTCAGATGAATCTTGAGTTGTAAATATTTCTGTATTTTTAAGTTCTTCTGTGGGTTTCTGCATGTCTTCATTGATGTCAACATTCATTTCATTCACAATAGATTCAATGAATTCTTTTCTCTGCTCTGCATCAACTTCATCTAGCACATCCTTCAGCTTTGTAAGTCCATCAACTGATTGAGACTCCATTACACCAGGAGCCTGGGATAGTTCTGCATCCATATCATCACGGATTTTCCTAATGAATGACTCTTTCTTAAGTGAATCTAGGCTGTCTGAGGATCCAGTTGATGAACCTTCCTCATCGGTTGCTAGTCTCAGCTCTTCATCAATCTCTTTTGAAACAGTTCGGACAAACATCTGTTTTTCTGGATCAGTGATTGCATCCTCCAGCTTTAGAAAATTCAGAATCATCTGATGTCAAGCATACAACTGGTTCAATATCTGACTGTAGTAAATCTCTTCCATGCTCAGTGTGCTCTTCAGTCTTCATTTCCGCAGCAGCTTCATCAGAGGCTGGTGAAGCATCTCCTGGTTCATCTTCATACACTTCTGACGGAGAAAGTTCTTGCTCAAGCATTGTTGGTTGTACATCTGTTGATGTACTTTCAGTAAGCATCTCTTCCTCTGATGCATATTCTTCATACTCTGTGTCGGAATCTGATACCTGCTGATCAGCCAGATCAACTGTTTCAACAGCCAAGTGTGTCTCTGATGCAGCAGCTTCAGTAGGAACATCTTCAGCATATTCCTCATATTCTGAGTCCGACTGTGGTTCTGTTTGGGGGATTTCGGATGAATCAAGACTAAGGTTCTTTTCTAAAACAGCTGCATCTCCTACAACTTCAACCTTATCTGCCTCCTGGTGACATTCTACAGATGGTGTCACATTTATTTCTTCCTCAGTCTCAGAAGACTGTGATATTTCTTGGGTCTTCTTTTCAAGCCCCTGCTCATTCATGTCAACTGCTGTTGGCTCCTTTAGTTCTTCAGTTTGAATGTCCATGTGTCCTGCAGTCGTATCAGAAGTTAAAGACTCATATTTTTCTTCCAACTGTTCACAAACATTCAAAGCATGTTCTTCAGTTGTATCCTGATCTGGTGTCTCCTTCTCTTCACGTCTCAGTAATGATGGTCCAGTGTCAGATACATCAGATGCCTTCTCATAAGATGATGTCTCTGTCTCGGAAACTTCACTCTCCTCTCGTGTCTTATCAGTTAAGTCCTCAACAGTCTTCTTCTCCGGTGTATCAGACACTTCACTCTCCCCCCGAGACAGATCAGTAGAGGACTCCTCAACAGTCTTCTTCTCCGATGTATCAGACACCAAGGTGAGGATTTCTGACAGTAAGTCATACATCTCAGACTCAAGTTGTGTCCTTTTCTCCCTGTGACGTGCTAGTTCCTCTTCAGGCCCTGCATCTTCTCTCTCCCGTGATCTCCTTTTCTTTCTCTCTCTTCTCTCTCCCTTTCCCTCTCTCTATCCTGGATTAATAAAGCTTCTGTGTCTTCCTCTTCCTCTGTGTCGTCTATCCTCAGTGACTCTCCTGTGAACAAGACAGAATGTGAATTCAAACTATAGATATATTAAATTTAACCGACGTCATCTTCACATTGACAGTTACATTATATTTTCTTAAATATTTCTCAGGTGATGTTCAATTGTACCCACAACTCAGTAAAAGCTGACTAACATTTCGTATTTATGGACCTTTTATTTCTAACCCAACAACGTGATTAATTCATCAGTTACAACACTTTCCTAATGATTTTGAATGTAAACAATACCAAACATGTCACTGTTATTGAATTCAAAACGTTGCATGTAAAAACATATACTTTTCTAATGAGCATAACAAAATTATTTTTCACTTTATCACCAGTTCGCTTATGACATTATTCTTAACAAAGCAAGAACCAACAAAAACTAACCTTGACACATATCGACACTCGCATCTTCCATGGACTCTTCTTCCACAAGGCCTTCAGTTGGAACTTCTTCAGGGGCTTCAACAGGGTCAGGTTTGGAAACTTGTGATGAAGCATCAGAAGGACACACTTCAACAACATCAGCAACCTTCACAGTGTCATCTAATGATCTCTGCCGTTGAAGTTCTGTCATAAACTGTGCCTCAGTAACATTACTCAGATCTTCACCCTCAGACACTGAAATGTTTTCATGAGCAACTCCTTCTGAAGTTGCCAATTCTGAGGTTTCCACAATTTGTTCTCGCGTCTGTTCATCTGTATCACTTTGTGTAACATCATCTGCATCTTCTTCTGGTTCATCATAACTGTCTGTGCCTTCCTCGTCATCTTCCTCCTCAGATTCGTCACTTTCTTCACCATCAGACTCATCTCCTGAAACAGCTGAGGTGGCATCAGATGCAGCTATGTCAGATTCTGCTATTTCTGATTCTGTTGCTTCAGAATCTGCCACTTCTGAATCCACTGCATCGGATCCTTGCACATCTGAAGTTTCTGCATCACTCTCATCATCTTCTTCCTCACTGGCGGCTTCCTCAGTGACCTCATCAGATTCCTCTCCTTCTTCCCCAGACTCTTCTTCTGATTCCTCAGCATCATCTGACTCTTCTGCATCTGAATCCTGTTCAGTATTAGCAGCTGAATCACTCTCTGTCAAATCAGAATCAGGGAAGTCTTCATCTACGGTCACATAGTGTGAAGACTCAGAATCGTGTCTTTTCAATGAAGAAGTATCAGCATCAGAGGTTTCAGAGTCGAGACGAAGCTGGTTTGAAGCATCAGTACTGTCATCATCATTGTGACTATCAGGCGTGATCTCAAGTTGAGCATCATTGAATTCTTCTTCAATATTGCTTTCAACTGAACCAGTGTCCACAAGAGCCTTTTGATCAGGATTGTCTGCATTAGATATATCATCAACAACATGAATATCACTTTCCTTCCTGAAGTCATCAACTGAATGGAGCTCCTCCAAAAATTCAGCTGGAATGATTTGTCCTCCTGGGAGATTGAATTCATCATAGGCAGTAGTTTGATGAGTGTCTTCAACAACCCTGTGAGAAATCAAAGTCACATCTTCCTGAACAGCCAACTCATCACTGGCATCCTCACTAATTGATCTGTATGCAAGAAATCTTACTGGTTGGACAACTGGTGAGTCTTCAGTTTCATCTACAATATCCTGAGTATACATTTCATCAGATGGTAAGACAGTTTCATCATCCAAGATACCATCTAGCTGTACCTTCATGCCATCGATGTCCATAAATGTAGCATTGTCTTCATTCAGTTGTCCATCATGTTCAGTTTCTCGCACCATTGGAACTGGCACATCTGACATTTTCGTCATCATTTCCTCCTCTTCCTCACAGGGGGGACTCTCAGTTTCAAACTCCTCCATTTCTGTTTCAATTAAACTGTCATTATCGTCATCTTGATGTGGCACAGCCTCAAGTGTTCCCTGTTGGTCATCGCTTTCTTCAAAGGAGTCATAGTCAGGACCAAATAAATTGTCATTAACTTCTTTCACTGTCGTTTCAACATCATCTTCTTTTTCAGTTGAGTGTTCTTCAGGAATAGAAGATATTGGCGAGTGTACATGAGTCTCATCATTCTCCACAGCAACCGAGAGTGGCTGAAGAGACTGTGCATTAACACTTTCAATGGCTTGAAGGAACCTTTCACGATCAATATGAGGAGATGGTTGCAAGGCTTCATCTCTGACCCCGCTGTGATCTTGATCAGATGCATCCTCTCCAGTCTCAGACTCAGAATTGCCCAATGTTTCAAGGACCATGGATCTGTAGAGTTGTCCTGGTGAAGAAATAGCCCATTCAGCAGGTTTCTCATCAACGTGGATATGTGATGCTATTTCTGATGACTCTGGGTTAACTATGAGGTTGTCAACATCATCCACAGAAAGCTGTTCTAATGCTGCTACTGGGGACATTTCATCAGCAAAACAATCCACATCATCATCAGTTGCTTCAGACCTCGTTTCCATCTTTGATACAGACTCCTCAAGGTATGTGGAAGCAGTGTCTTCCTCTCGTGATTCAATGGAAGATGTCAAAACATCAGTTTCACCTTTGGAAGAGTCACTGTGGAATGTAAACAAATCCAAAGTTGCATCTCCAGCAATATCATATAATGTAGTATCCTTTTCAGATGACTGTTGTGGAGATTTACATAATTCATATTCTGGAACTCTCTCAGACTCCTGTGATGTTTGAGCCATTTTAGATGCAGCATCGTCTAATTCTCCCTCCAAGACTGGTTCAAGATTCTTCTTTCCTGTGAAATCTTTAAACATCATCACCTCTTGTATACCTTCTGCATCTGATTTTTCTTGACTTGATTCCATGTCAATAGTTTCGTCAAACCAGCTAGCTGCTTGATTTGCTGAAACAGATTCCTCTGATATCTCTTCTAAAATTTCATTACTAGTCACCTGTTGATCCACTGCAACATCGGAAACAGCTTTCGTCTTCACATCAGGTGTCTCTGGGACTATGCCAGCAAACCAACTTTCATACTCAACTTTCTCCAATGTTTTCTGGTCACTTCCTTCTTTTGGTATACTTTTGTCTTCACTGGGACATTCAGTAGTTTCAGGTTCATCTTCAGTGATTTGTTGAGGTACTTGGCCATCAACTGTCAAAATTTCAGCACCAATTTCTTGCCCATCTTCAACATTGTCAAACCATCCACCTGGAGCAAATTCTGAGCTCTCAACAGCTTTTGTTTCATCTTGTTTGTCTTCACTGGTAGATTCAGTAGTTTCAGGTTCATCTTCAGTGATTGGTTGGGGTACTTGGCCATCAACTGTCAAAATTTCAGCACCAATTTCTTGCCCATCTTCAACATTGTCAAACCATCCACCTGGAGCAAATTCTGAGCTCTCCACAGCTTTTGTTTCATCTTGTTTGTCTTCACTGGTAGATTCAGTAGTTTCAGCTTCATCTTCAGTGATTGGTTGAGGTACTTGGCCATCAACTGTCAAAATTTCAGCACCAATTTCTTGCCCATCTTCAACATTGTCAAACCATCCACCTGGAGCAAATTCTGAGCTCTCAACAGCTTTTGTTTCATCTTGTTTGTCTTCACTGGTAGATTCAGTAGTTTCAGGTTCATCTTCAGTGATTGGTTGAGGTACTTGGCCATCAACTGTCAAAATTTCAGCACCAATTTCTTGCCCATCTTCAACATTGTCAAACCATCCACCTGGAGCAAATTCTGAGCTCTCAACAGCTTTTGTTTCATCTTGCCTATCTTCACTGGTAGATTCAGTAGTTTCAGGTTCATCTTCAGTGATTGGTTGAGGTACTTGGCCATCAACTGTCAAAATTTCAGCACCAATTTCTTGCCCATCTTCAACATTGTCAAACCATCCACCTGGAGCAAATTCTGAGCTCTCCACAGCTTTTGTTTCATCTTGTTTGTCTTCACTGGTAGATTCAGTAGTTTCAGGTTCATCTTCAGTGATTGGTTGAGGTACTTGGCCATCAACTGTCAAAATTTCAGCACCAATTTCTTGCCCATCTTCAACATTGTCAAACCATCCACCTGGAGCAAATTCTGAGCTCTCAACAGCTTTTGTTTCATCTTGTTTATCTTCACTGGTAGATTCAGTAGTTTCAGGTTCATCTTCAGTGATTGGTTGAGGTACTTGGCCATCAACTGTCAAAATTTCAGCACCAATTTCTTGCCCATCTTCAACATTGTCAAACCATCCACCTGGAGCAAATTCTGAGCTCTCAACAGCTTTTGTTTCATCTTGTTTGTCTTCACTGGTAGATTCAGTAGTTTCAGGTTCATCTTCAGTGATTGGTTGAGGTACTTGGCCATCAACTGTCAAAATTTCAGCACCAATTTCTTGCCCATCTTCAACATTGTCAAACCATCCACCTGGAGCAAATTCTGAGCTCTCAACAGCTTTCGTTTCATCTTGTTTGTCTTCACTGGTAGATTCAGTAGTTTCAGGTTCATCTTCAGTGATTGGTTGAGGTACTTGGCCATCAACTGTCAAAATTTCAGCACCAATTTCTTGCCCATCTTCAACATTGTCAAACCATCCACCTGGAGCAAATTCTGAGCTCTCAACAGCTTTCGTTTCATCTTGTTTGTCTTCACTGGTAGATTCAGTAGTTTCAGGTTCATCTTCAGTGATTGGTTGAGGTACTTGGCCATCAACTGTCAAAATTTCAGCACCAATTTCTTGCCCATCTTCAACATTGTCAAACCATCCACCTGGAGCAAATTCTGAGCTCTCAACAGCTTTTGTTTCATCTTGTTTGTCTTCACTGGTAGATTCAGTAGTTTCAGGTTCATCTTCAGTGATTGGTTGAGGTACTTGGCCATCAACTGTCAAAATTTCAGCACCAATTTCTTGCCCATCTTCAACATTGTCAAACCATCCACCTGGAGCAAATTCTGAGCTCTCAACAGCTTTTGTTTCATCTTGTTTGTCTTCACTGGTAGATTCAGTAGTTTCAGGTTCATCTTCAGTGATTGGTTTGGGGTACTTGGCCATCAACTGTCAAAATTTCAGCACCAATTTCTTGCCCATCTTCAACATTGTCAAACCATCCACCTGGAGCAAATTCTGAGCTCTCAACAGCTTTTGTTTCATCTTGCTTATCTTCACTGGTAGATTCAGTAGTTTCAGGTTCATCTTCAGTGATTGGTTGAGGTACTTGGCCATCAACTGTCAAAATTTCAGCACCAATTTCTTGCCCATCTTCAACATTGTCAAACCATCCACCTGGAGCAAATTCTGAGCTCTCCACAGCTTTCGTTTCATCTTGTTTGTCTTCACTGGTAGATTCAGTAGTTTCAGGTTCATCTTCAGTGATTGGTTGGGGTACTTGGCCATCAACTGTCAAAATTTCAGCACCAATTTCTTGACCATCTTCAACATTGTCAAACCATCCACCTGGAGCAAATTCTGAGCTCTCAACAGCTTTTGTTTCATCTTGCCTATCTTCACTGGTAGATTCAGTAGTTTCAGGTTCATCTTCAGTGATTGGTTGAGGTACTTGGCCATCAACTGTCAAAATTTCAGCACCAATTTCTTGCCCATCTTCAACATTGTCAAACCATCCACCTGGAGCAAATTCTGAGCTCTCAACAGCTTTTTGTTTCATCTTGTTTGTCTTCACTGGTAGATTCAGTAGTTTCAGGTTCATCTTCAGTGATTGGTTGAGGTACTTGGCCATCAACTGTCAAAATTTCAGCACCAATTTCTTGACCATCTTCAACATTGTCAAACCATCCACCTGGAGCAAATTCTGAGCTCTCAACAGCTTTTGTTTCATCTTGTTTGTCTTCACTGGTAGATTCAGTAGTTTCAGGTTCATCTTCAGTGATTGGTTGAGGTACTTGGCCATCAACTGTCAAAATTTCAGCACCAATTTCTTGCCCATCTTCAACATTGTCAAACCATCCACCTGGAGCAAATTCTGAGCTCTCCACAGCTTTCGTTTCATCTTGTTTGTCTTCACTGGTAGATTCAGTAGTTTCAGCTTCATCTTCAGTGATTGGTTGAGGTACTTGGCCATCAACTGTCAAAATTTCAGCACCAATTTCTTGACCATCTTCAACATTGTCAAACCATCCACCTGGAGCAAATTCTGAGCTCTCAACAGCTTTTGTTTCATCTTGTTTGTCTTCACTGGTAGATTCAGTAGTTTCAGGTTCATCTTCAGTGATTGGTTGAGGTACTTGGCCATCAACTGTCAAAATTTCAGCACCAATTTCTTGCCCATCTTCAACATTGTCAAACCATCCACCTGGAGCAAATTCTGAGCTCTCCACAGCTTTTGTTTCATCTTGTTTGTCTTCACTGGTAGATTCAGTAGTTTCAGGTTCATCTTCAGTGATTGGTTGAGGTACTTGGCCATCAACTGTCAAAATTTCAGCACCAATTTCTTGCCCATCTTCAACATTGTCAAACCATCCACCTGGAGCAAATTCTGAGCTCTCAACAGCTTTCGTTTCATCTTGTTTGTCTTCACTGGTAGATTCAGTAGTTTCAGGTTCATCTTCAGTGATTGGTTGGGGTACTTGGCCATCAACTGTCAAAATTTCAGCACCAATTTCTTGCCCATCTTCAACATTGTCAAACCATCCACCTGGAGCAAATTCTGAGCTCTCAACAGCTTTTGTTTCATCTTGTTTGTCTTCACTGGTAGATTCAGTAGTTTCAGGTTCATCTTCAGTGATTGGTTGAGGTACTTGGCCATCAACTGTCAAAATTTCAGCACCAATTTCTTGACCATCTTCAACATTGTCAAACCATCCACCTGGAGCAAATTCTGAGCTCTCAACAGCTTTTGTTTCATCTTGTTTGTCTTCACTGGTAGATTCAGTAGTTTCAGGTTCATCTTCAGTGATTGGTTGGGGTACTTGGCCATCAACTGTCAAAATTTCAGCACCAATTTCTTGCCCATCTTCAACATTGTCAAACCATCCACCTGGAGCAAATTCTGAGCTCTCAACAGCTTTTGTTTCATCTTGTTTATCTTCACTGGTAGATTCAGTAGTTTCAGGTTCATCTTCAGTGATTGGTTGAGGTACTTGGCCATCAACTGTCAAAATTTCAGCACCAATTTCTTGCCCATCTTCAACATTGTCAAACCATCCACCTGGAGCAAATTCTGAGCTCTCAACAGCTTTCGTTTCATCTTGTTTGTCTTCACTGGTAGATTCAGTAGTTTCAGCTTCATCTTCAGTGATTGGTTGAGGTACTTGGCCATCAACTGTCAAAATTTCAGCACCAATTTCTTGACCATCTTCAACATTGTCAAACCATCCACCTGGAGCAAATTCTGAGCTCTCAACAGCTTTTGTTTCATCTTGCCTATCTTCACTGGTAGATTCAGTAGTTTCAGCTTCATCTTCAGTGATTGGTTGAGGTACTTGGCCATCAACTGTCAAAATTTCAGCACCAATTTCTTGCCCATCTTCAACATTGTCAAACCATCCACCTGGAGCAAATTCTGAGCTCTCAACAGCTTTGTTTCATCTTGTTTGTCTTCACTGGTAGATTCAGTAGTTTCAGGTTCATCTTCAGTGATTGGTTGAGGTACTTGGCCATCAACTGTCAAAATTTCAGCACCAATTTCTTGCCCATCTTCAACATTGTCAAACCATCCACCTGGAGCAAATTCTGAGCTCTCAACAGCTTTTGTTTCATCTTGTTTGTCTTCACTGGTAGATTCAGTAGTTTCAGGTTCATCTTCAGTGATTGGTTGAGGTACTTGGCCATCAACTGTCAAAATTTCAGCACCAATTTCTTGCCCATCTTCAACATTGTCAAACCATCCACCTGGAGCAAATTCTGAGCTCTCCACAGCTTTTGTTTCATCTTGTTTGTCTTCACTGGTAGATTCAGTAGTTTCAGGTTCATCTTCAGTGATTGGTTGGGGTACTTGGCCATCAACTGTCAAAATTTCAGCACCAATTTCTTGACCATCTTCAACATTGTCAAACCATCCACCTGGAGCAAATTCTGAGCTCTCCACAGCTTTTGTTTCATCTTGCTTATCTTCACTGGCAGATTCAGTAGTTTCAGGTTCATCTTCAGTGATTGGTTGAGGTACTTGGCCATCAACTGTCAAAATTTCAGCACCAATTTCTTGCCCATCTTCAACATTGTCAAACCATCCACCTGGA